TCTTGTGTTGTTAGGACAATTTCTTCATTACCAAATTTAAGGATGTTCATGGAAGGATCAAAAGAGAAACCATGTTGGCCGATCAAATCCATTCCCAAAATAAAATCATCTTCTATATCGGCGACTAATGTTTTGTGCCTGAAGGTGGTAGATCCAAAAGTGAGTTCAACCATAGCTTCTCCTTGAACTGCTGCAGATTCGCCGGTGACTGTTCGTAGTGACAGGTTTCTAGTGAGCGGTTGGATTGCCCGAGACTTGACTAATGTTCTTTTAATTATGGAAACTTCAGCACCCGTATCAAAAGTAATGGTTTTCAATTCTCCATTAATTTGTCCTTCGAATTTTAATCCTCTATAATGACTGCCCAATGATTTTATGTAAACAACCCTGGGGGCTTCGTCATTACTAACCAGCATTCGCCCCTCCATACTGGTTAGTTCTCGTTTCCCTGTCTGTTATTAGGGCTGGCGTCTCTCGATCTCGAAAAGCGTTGGAAACGATCCCTTGATGGAGAGGACATCCTCACTCTACAATCTCGTTGAATATGCCCAAGTTTATGGCACCGGTAGCACTCTATTCGGTTTCTCGGGGTTGGTGTTTGTCTGGAATCGTTTCCCATTTTTCTATCTTCTAGTAACAGTTTCTCCATTCTCTCCATGAAATTACTCATTTTAGTTTCGAAGCGACCATCCTCTTTTGACAACTGTTTATCTTTTGGGTCTTCAATGGACACTGCTCGTATTCTGGGTCGTGAGGCACCAAAGATTGCTTCCAGTTCTAATGCTCGGACAAGGGCTTCGCTACTTTGTCTGAACTTGGACATTCTTAGGTTTTCCTGGATCTTCGAATCTCTGAGACCATCAATAAACGCAGATACTGCCATCCATTCCTGCATGTCTTCCCCAGCTGCAGGAAACGCCAAACTCACTAGCCTTTTAACTTCCGATTCGAATTCTTGAAGACTCTCGTCGGGTTTTTGAACTCTTGATTTAACTTGAGTTCTGAATACTTCTTGTCTGTAATGGTCTCCGAAGCGCAGTTCTAAAGTTTGACTAAGATGCTGGTAATTCTGTTGGTAGATTGAAGGAATGGACTGAAGAAGATCTAAGGCTGGTCCTCGTAGCGCCACTATCAGTGCTGTAGCTTTTTCTTGATCGTTCCATCCGTTGGTATTTGCAGCAGCTTCAAATTGTCGAATATACATGGTCCAGGACGTAGAGCCGTCGAAAGTTGGTGGTTTTATCTTCATACTGGAGAAAGCTCCAACACTAGCTGAATTGATGGACTGTATTTCTAATCTACGCATCTTTTCTTCGAGTGCTTGAACTTGGTCCTCAACTTCTTGTCTTAATTGCTGAACATCGGTTTTGACTTCAGCTTTTACTTCTTGAACGTCGTGTTTAACTTCTTGCACATCGTCTTTAACTTGTTCAATCTTCTGGTCTAGGTTAGCGACAGTTCCTTGTATGGTTTGGAATATTTTCTGTAGTCTTCCAAGGTCCTCCTGCCGTTCTTGTTGTCGCTTAGCTTCTTCTTGTTGTCGCCTAGCTTCTTCTTGTTGTCGCCTAGCTTCTTCTTCTTGTTTTTCTTGTTGTCGTCTGGCTTCTTCGTCTTGTCTTTCTTGTTGTCTTCTAGCCTCTTCTTGTTGTCGTCTAGCTTCTTCGTCTTGTTTTTCTTGTAGTCGTCTGGCTTCTTCGTCTTGTTTTTCTTGTAGTCGTCTGGTTTCATCGTCCTGTTTTTCTTGTTGTCTTCTACCTTCTTCGTCTTGTTTTTCTTGTTGTCGTCTAGCTTCTTCGTCTTGTTTTTCTTGTTGTCGTCTGGCTTCTTCGTCTTGTTTTTCTTGTTGTCGTTTGGTCTCTTGAAGTTCCAACATTTTGCGCAGAAGTTCTTCAACTTTTTGTTCGTCCATTTTGGCTTGTTGTCTTGTGATAGGCATATACAGAATGTTCTAGAATTTCCCTCGAACTTTCTTCAAATATCTTTTCTGGTCTTTGCTCGAAGTTCCAAACACGCCGGTGAAGTCACAAATTGGATAACTTGCTTTATTCTAGAATAGAATGTTCTGGAATTTTCTTGAAACTTCTTTTCTAGATGTCGATTGATACAGCAAATACGTCGGTGAAGTCACAATTTCGATATCTCCTTTGGTTTCCAAATAGAATGTTCTAGAATTTTCCCGAAACTCCTCGAAAAACCTCTTCTGAATGACGATTGATGTTCCGAATACGTCGGCGAAGTCACAAATTCGATATCTCCCTTAGTTTCCAAATAGAATTTTCTAGAACTCACTCGAAGATTCACTATCACAGTCTAAATCGGGTATAGAGTCACTTCCGGGGTAATTCACACGATCGGTTAAGTCTCTTTTTGTGATTGTCACTATTTGCACTGCACTAACTGTCCCAGTGTTCACGTAGTGTTCAGTTTTTATACTACACTAGTGTCCCCGCACTTCCGTAATTGGATTTCACTCTGCAGTCGTTTATATCCCACTCCTGACACCACTGTCGCGGCTTTGGGTTGCCTGCTGACAAAAATCTTGGGTTCGTTGTTCGTTTCGTTTATTCCAAAAATCAAAGTCCAATTAACACAGCAATAATTTATTCCACTTAACAAAACACTCTGACACTAATTACTTTATTAACAAACTCAACAATTAAACTCTTTACAATCACTATTTAAATCGTATCACACTCGAACTGAAACTAACTTACAAACCAATGCCGGCCTTCTTATATATCCCTAAATCTATTCCTGTGAAATCTAGAATACACACGATAATCTAATTTTCCAGATTAAAGTAGAATAATTCGCTAGATTCTAGTATTTCAACGATCGATTCTTGACAGCCTGGCGGACGTTTAGCTTATTGTGACAATATTTATTTGACGTGCATCAAGTATGTCTAGACATTTTTCACACTCATCAAATTTTTCACGTTTCACACACAGTTTGATTTCATCAATGGCCAAATCTCGATCAATAATTATTCTATCGATTTTCGTTTCTATTTCGATGATGGAGAAGAAGAAAATGATACTAATCATTGCTGTTGGAGATTCATATTTATGGATTTCTTAATTACCAATTCTTCATTAATAATCTTATGTATTTTTGTTTCTAATTGAATTTCATTCAAGCTAGGTGAGCATTGATAGCCATCGAACTCTTCTAAAATTTCCTCAACATTTATTTTAGTTAATTCCGGAAAAAGTATTTATTGAATTAAATTGAAATGTTTGCTGTACAAGCGGCTCGAAAATATTTTCACTATTTGCGAGGAAATCCTCATGATGATTTGGTGAATCTTCTGTCGAAATATTCATGATAGATCACAATAATGCACAATCGACTGAAAAAAAAACTATATATTAGATATTTTGTTAAAAGAAAGTAGATTTAGTCTATCATTTACCTAGAAATTTTTATAGATGATCCATGATTTGATCCAAAACATTTTTGACATTCACTGAACACTATTTCATATTATTATTTACAATCATAACTTGAGTCAGACAAAGAAAGTCCTCACACTACATATAAAAATTACAAACTGAGACTGCATCATGAGTTTTGGTACCTACCTTACTTAAAAACAGCTGCAGGTAAAGAATGCAAACTGGTTTAAGGACCCAAGCAGAAAGGTAGTCCCTAATATGGGCTCACATAAATTACGAGTTTTGGTTAATGAAAAACAGTTACCTTTACTTATATAAAACTGCTTTATGTCAAGCATATATTACCTAAATTCCTACAACTAGCAATAGTTACCTAACCAAAATTTATTTTAAAACGTGCTAACAAAAAATGGAACATTATAAATATTATTTGATTATCCTCGTCTTCCTTGAAAACTGGTAAATATTTGTCCCTTTTTTTTGCTAGCGGAATAAAATTTCTCCATTTGTCTAAATAAACATTAAAAAAAAAACTCATGTTTACAGGAATTCGGTTGCCTGCCATCTTCTTTCTCAATGCTCTCCAGATGGAACAAAGATTTTTGAAAAAATACATTTTCAAAGAATTCTTAACAGTGTTTCGAATCGAAAGTTGTTGGAAAATATTTTTGGAAAAACACAAGTGTTTAGGTAACCAAAGTTCCAACACACTGGCCATTACTCATACGATGATTTTGTTTTTCTCTGACACGGTCAGATTTACGCAATAAGTGTAGTTTTGCTCTATAACTTGTTAGCTCTCGTCAGTGCAACATAAGCGAAAGCTCGAGGACCGTAAGTCATCCAAAACCTAGTTCAAAACAAAATTGATGATCATTTTATTGCCTGAAATACATAAAATTTAAATTTATATTCACATAATACAAATTAATATTGAATCATTTCTATTAATCGTCTGGCTATTTTCGCAAGCATTGCGCGAAAAACCCCCGGAAACTCTAAACTTTTGATATTTTTAGTGTGGGATTCGCTTATTTTCGTCAGTAAGGATGTTTAGATTGGATTTCATTCATGCATCGAGCCGTTTTTGTTATTGAAAAATAATTTTTTCAATTATTCGCTTAATTTACGCCCATCCCAATATGAAGTTGCTTGACTGACACCCAATTTCTGATCCAGAAATAGTTGCCGGCAATTAATAATTTTATAACCAGGCGATGGTGGCAGCTTGATGGTCAGTTATCGATTGACTTTTGTTTTGTTCGTACACATTGCGAAAATATAATTTAAATTTGATTTGAAGTCGTAAGGTTAAGTAATGCATCCTGATATCAATAAAAGCTATGGGCGTGATGCTTTAAAAGGGGTAAGAAAAAATATGAAAATTACCTACCCACATAGATATTATAGCTTGAGAATTATTTTAAAACTTCATGGACTGAACAATTTCAATTTCAATTTATTCCTCCCTCTTTTGATTACCTAGTAATATAAATTTATCATTGGGTAATTCCTACTTCTTACAGTTCAATCTCAATAAACTTTCTCACCAACCGTTTATCTGAAAATTCTAAACATATAAAAATTATGTTTTTTTTCTAGCCAGGCCCAATTCCAGGAATGAGACCCGCAATGGGTGGTCCAGGTCACGTAGTGCCACCTTCCGCAAAGCAACAAGCCAACTATGGCTTCATGGGAGTACTCATGCCTATCTACACTGTTGGATTTGTTATATTCTTCTCTTATACAATAATGAAGGTATCCAGAATCAAACTTTGTCTGCAGTATTCTAATTTACAATTTATTTCCAGTTGGTGTTTAAGAAAAAATCACCAGAAGCTGACGCTGGAGCTCCTATGTATCCCCAGTGCGAACCAGATGAACATTTTTACAAAGAAGTGTTCGAGCCTAATAAACATTACTTTAATAGGCCCAATAAGGATAACAGCAAAATTGGTAAGTGATTTGTTTGTGGCAAATGTTTTACTAACATAATTTTTATCGCTGCATTTGATTAGGATGGAAAGAACGTGATGCAAGTAAGTTTGTTGATGAATATTTAAATTGAACTTTATTTTCGAAAAATTGGGTATTGCTGACCAAGCTCTAGCTTAAACATGAAATTCGATATCGATTCCAAATTTCCACTAAGTAGGTAGGTATGTATGATTTTTAAAATCTTAAATTTTTTACTGTTGAGTTCCAAATCTGCCCCTGTAGCATTTAATTGTCGTAGGGTCTCTCGAAATTTAGCTGGCTTTTTCCCATATTTATCTTCTAAGCCACTCCATAAACATAAAGCAGAAGTGAAATATCTGTTTATATAGACATCGTGACATTACCACTAGCACTATTCAATTCCATTCTTCAATACCAGATTTCTTATTTATGTAAATCTGGGCCCATAACCTGTTGTTGTTAAGGTTTGTTTGGATGCCAAACTTCCTATCTTCATCTACGCTGTAGGTCAAATTAAAGTTCTAATTTTGGATCAGGAGGCTGCTATGTTCTTGTATGAGGTGTCCAGTTTTGGTTTTGATCTAAAAGTTTTAGACAAAAACCGTAGGTAACATTTTGTTAAAGGCTGCATTTTCTCAAGGATATTATGCATGAAACATTCTCACAACAATCTACCGTTGAATTCATAAAATTTATCATCTAGGTAAGAGATTTACACACGCATAGGATTACTACATCCCTGAAATTTAAAATCGATGCTGTGTTTCATATCTAAGCTAGAGCTTGGTGAGTAATTTCATGGTCACCCTTAAAAAATTCAAGGCAAAATCGATAGTTATTAAAATGGAAAAAAGGATTTTGTAAAGTTACCTACGTGTTCTTTGTTTGAATAAAGAATGAGTAACAAAAATCGTGTCCTGGCATAAAAAAATTGAAATCGAAACAAACAAAAGTTTTCGAGGAAAATGAGGCAGAAAATTACATTGCACCATTATTTCACCCTGCGTAAAACTTTTTTCGAAATATAACTTTTTAAAACACATTGACACTATTAAAAACTCATTTACATAGGCTTCAAGCAACTAATTCAATTGTCTCGCAAACGAACATACCAAACTGTGTTCTAATAATGCCGGGGAAGTGAAAACACAAATGTCTAAATAAAATTTAATTCATGTTTTCTTTTTGAAACCGCGCAGAAGACGAGGAACTGGACCAGCTGCGCAAACGTTTGCGCGAAACCGAGCTGGCCATGGAGCGCATTGTACACCAGATGGCGCGAGCGCCGCTCGCCATGCAGGTGCGCAGCTTGGGGCGGCACGCAACAGCTTCGCATTCATTTTTTTTTTTTTGCACACATTAACCCGTATTGATTCTAACCTCATATTTTCAACGATGCTGCTTTTGGTGTGCGTAGAATTTAGTTTATCCTACAAAATTTAGTACTAGTTGTGTAGAACTTTTGCCAGAATTTTTCCAAAATATTCAATATATATTTTAATTAGATTATAATTTTGCGTGTCAGTTTGGAAACTTCTGAATAATATACAGGGTGTCCCACGGTGGATGGCGTATTAGACGTTTATGGAGAGCTAAAAAGCGGATCATTTTGAAAATTTGGCAACCGGGATAAACGACCATGATCTACACTTTAAAAATATTTTTGACCATGCGGTGTTGCCGCTTCTACTCTAAACTAGTGGCAACATCACTATTTTAAATGGAACACCCCATATTGAATTGCATATTTGGATTCTACGTAAAATTCTGAGCAGATTTCATGTGATATACCCTATACCTAAGTTCAACTGTTTTGGAAATATTGACAGTTGAAAATTCACTTTTTGCAACTTTGACAGGCTGTAGAACCTGAACGGTTAATTTTAGAGGAAAACCGATTTTACATTCCTATCTTAGATTTTTATAAACTATCATTTGACACCATCTTTGAATTAAATCCATGATTAAAAATTTCAGTTAAATTTAATCTCCGGTTAAGTTCAAAGTTGGTGTCAAATGATAGTTTATCAAAATCTAAGACAGGAATGTGAAATCGATTTTCCTTTAAAATTAACCAATTAGGTTTTACAGCCTGTCAAAGTTGCAAAAAGTCAATTTTCAACTGTCAATATTTCCAAAACAGTTGAACTTAGGTATAGGGTATACCACATGAAATCTGCTCAGAATTTTACGTAGAATCCAAATATGCAATTTAATACGGGGTGTTCCATTTGAAATAGTGATGTTGCCACTAGTTTAGAGTAGAAGCGGCATTATCGCATGGTCAAAAATATTTTAAAAGTGTAGATCATGGTCGTTTATCCCGGTTACCAAATTTTCAAAATGATCCGCTTTTTAGTTTTCCTTAAACGTCTAATACGCCATCCACCGTGGGACACCCTGTATCTTCAGGGAGCGGAAAAAAGTATTGAAATTATTCACAACCTTTTTAAGAATAGCATTAAAAGAGCCGCGTCACATAATTTTTTTCTAGCAAACGGATTTATGTGATCATTGGAAAACATGTTTGCCGTTTTAACAACTATAATAGCTGTGAGGGCGTAATTGAAATAAGTTTTTTGTAAATGTAAATATTTCGTCAAGGCTCCTGAATTCCATCTACTTAGATATAATGAAGAACTTGATAAGGAAACGGCAAAAATACCCATATAAAATATATTAGGGAAGTGAAAAACTTGATTGCTGGACAATTGCTTTCGAGCAAAAGGAAAATTTCACCTTACTTTCAGCTCGATATTTTTGGAATCAAAATATCGACCGCTTTTCATATAGCAATTTTTTTCATAAAAAGTCAGTCTGTTAGCCCATGAAAACCGGAAGTCGATATTTGGTCTGGTTCCAAAAATATTGAGCTTGGAAGTTGGGCGAAAAAATGTCCTTGCTCGAAAGCATTTGTCCAGCAGTTTATATAGAAACAAATCAATTAAAATCTTACCAGATGACAAAGAAGGAAACGAAACTAGTGACCCCCAGACCAAGATCCAACAAACTCAGCAAAGATTTATGTAATATTAAAAAATAAAAAACCTTATGAGAACGAAGGCTCACATCCCATCACAGTAAACGCAACCACAGTTCCTAAGGGCTTAGCTTACACGCAAAGCAATCATCGATGCGTACGAACGAAGACAGACCTATTGAGGAAAGAGGAAAAACCCTCCGACCTCGACAAGGCTAGTAAAGAAACTCGCAGGCTCTTCAACAGGGCCATGCGATCTAAATCACTAGCTGACTGGGACAGCCACAAGCAGTCTCAGCGCAAATATGAGGATCTCATAAGAAGCTCCAAAAGAGAATCGTGGAAGGCGTTCTGCGGAAACCTAGACTAGCTGTCGAAAGTCGCCAAGCTTCAAATGATTATAGCACTACCGCAGAGGAGGAACTTGGTTGGCTCCTGAATACACACTTTACGGGTCCTGATATCCTGCAAACTGGTGAAACACCAATGCTACACAAGCTGGTGCAAGGCTAGCTAACTGGACGTTTGCTACGTGGTGTCAGAAAACTGCATGAGATGGGCCATCCAGTTTTGAGAGCGCGCGACAAGATAGCATTTTTTCGTCTCTTTTACAAAAGAGGAGTGCTACTGACTCCGCACCTAATACGCCTCTTCAGGGCATGTCTCGCATATGGTCCAATACCACGTTCCTGGCGTAAGGTCCAAGTTGTACCTATTCATCGCCAAGCCAGGTCGGTATAGTTACGAAGCGGCTAAGAATTACAGATACATCAGTCTATCCTCGTTTCTCCTAGAAACCCTGGAGAAACTGGTGGACACATTCATTAGGGAAGGGGCATTGAAGACAATGCCCGTACACCTTAATCAACACAGGACTGCCATGACAACTGAGACGGCTCTCCACAGTCTCGTGGTAAGGCTGGAGCGAGAGGTGTCTCACAAAGAGATGGCTGTCGGTGTATTTCTAGACATCGAAGGGGCATTTAATGCCACCTCCTTCGGCTTGATAAAGAATGCTGCAGAAAGCTTTGGCATAAAGAACACCATTTTGAAATGGCTCTGTGTCTTGCGATCATCGATCGGAAGTGCGAAGATCAGCTCAACCGTAACCAGAGACTTCCCACAGGAGGCTGTACTATTGCCCTTGCTGTTCCGCACTCTGAACGAGGAAGGTATGTACACTCAAGGCTACGCGGATGATCTTGTCATTTTGTAGAGTACCCAGCATCATTAAAGGAATCATGATCATGCAAAGAGTTCTTAGCATGGTGTAATAATCACGGGCTTTCGGTGAATCCGGACAAGACCGAAGTAGTACCATTTACAAAGCGAAGAAACGTGGGCCTGGAAGGGCTGACGCTCTTTGGATCGAGACTTGCTCCATCCGGTTCGGTCAAATATCTAGGAATCATCATTGTCTCTAGGCAGACCTGGAAAGATCGGGTCAACAGGGTCGTTCAGAGGGCCACTACTGCTATCCTTTGGGCCTTTTTTTTGTAGTAGGGGTTGGAAATGCGTTATGCACGCCCAGGGCATTGGTGTTCTGGCGCCCTAGGAAGTGTGGGACTCTCACACTGAAACCATTCCCCTACTCTTCCTGGAACCGCCGTTAAGCATTACTTCAGGAAATTCGGTTCTCTAGCCTATCTATGTCTCTCTTTGTCTCTCCTCAATTTCCTTACGTTTCATTATATTACCAAGCATTTCCATGACTGTATCCCAAGTCTCCTCTCCTCTCTCCTTCTAAAAGCATTTCTCCAAAATTTACCTTTGTTATTTCTTGGCCACATCTATTTCTTACTTCATCTCTCAGGTTTTCGAACTTCCTACACACAAAAATCGTGTGCTCTGGGGTATCCTGATGTCCGCAGAACCAACATTGATCCGTTTCTACCTTGGCTATTTGTTTCAATTAGGTCCCGAAAACTCCGTGTCCTGTCATTGCCTGTGTGGTGTGATAACCTGTCTCGCCCCCGTTCCTGTTGATCCATCTCGGTATATCTTTTATTAAATTCTT